TTATAGCACCTGCAAAAAGAGTTGGTGGTCAACGGACGAGTATCGTATTTAATTACTGAGTACTAGGAGTGCGCAGCCATCAATACATAATGTGATCTAATGGGTGCTTATGAATATACGGGTATCGTTCATTTGCAGTCTCGGCAAATAGCTTCAGCGAGCGTGCCGGCGCAACGCCTTTGATGGTGTTATATTGATACATTGAAAACTGATATATGCATATAGTATCCAGGCCGCTGAGGACGCGAGTATAAGAGCTTGCGCTGCGGGAGTTACTACTAACCCTTAAATATTGAATAGTGTCGAAATGTCTATTTTGGCTGGTGTTCTTTTAACTTAAACCAAGTAAACTTGACGCAAGTAGTTTGACACGCAAGTGAGCAGGACATACCCCATGACACCCTCGGCGATGAGCGCTTGTTCGCATAGGATGGTCATTCGCGGGATGAAGGCCAGGAAGTACCGTTTAGACGGCTCGTCTCTGTGGTGGGCAAACCAGCGTCAAAAGATGTCACTATCTCGCTACGGTGGGCGTATCAAGTGTCAAAATAGTATCATGATCTCCTTAGGGTGTGTCGAGTGTCAAAGTAGTGTCGCAACTCTATGTGATGGATGTGTCGATGTAAACAAGGTGTCACAATATACGTCAGATGCTGTACTGATCCCTCTTGGATAGCCGACGCTGGATGACTCATCAGATACATCTACCTAGCCGCGAATATCGACGTCCATATTATCTTTATCGAAAGTTCTACATACTCTTCGATTCGCTATGTTTAGGCTCATATCTATCAACAGTCGAATGATGTATGTCCAACTGAGCTGTTTGGTAAGGTGGCCGTGGTGGTGTATAGATCCCCACAACATTATTTACTACTTCCAACAGAAATTTTGCCTGTACTGATACCAAGCACACGTATACCACATACTGCTAGCCTCAACGACATCTGTTCGCACGTGTAGGAGGCAAGCCAATCAATGCCGCACACAAACCGACAGTAAAACCGCAACTAAGATGGTATGGTCAGATTCATCGGTGGTGTATTAATCGTGCTACATCACACCACATACCAACAGCAGAAACAGATTAAGCAAATGACTTCGCATTGTAGCCATACACGCGACCAATGGTGAAATAAAGCTCCACCAACGGGTAAAAGCGATACAGAGTTCGAATTCAATGATATGCATATCTAACCTGCGATTTCGAATATCCCTGAAAACACAACAGACAGTCGATCGTCTGTACTTGTTTTGTACAGACACCATGCGCAACCATACCGAATGTGATTGGCGATTGTCTTAACCAGCTGCACCGTGGGCCGTATCATGTAGGTAACATGCCGTAACTCTGTGTCCAGTATATCCTCTAACTGGTACAGTTTTTCCACCCCATGTTCCTGTGAGTACAGATATCAAGGACGAATAGTTCGTCAACTCCACTACAATCTCACACGATAAAATTCAACACAAAATGACCTGTCACTGGCACCCGCCGATGACATGCACGGCACCTGGACATGACACTGCCACACTGCAAACGAACTGTATGGCGGGCGTGGTACCATACCAGGTGCTCACAAAAGATACATATGGTCGACTAACTTCAGGATGTACGATACATGAATGTGATGCTGAGACATTATAAAGCAATGGTATGGCAGCAGTCTGGCACTGAATGGTCGTGCGGTGGCACAGTGTGTTCATGGTGGTAGTGGTATTATAGCAGGTGTTCGTATACGACTCATATGTAACAATTAACATCAAGATTGTACTTATATACCCATGCACTAGCCATTCGCCTCTGTGTGCGCACGGACGAGCGTGTAAGTAGCATGAGATAGGAACACACGTGACGAATGCGTACCAGGAGTATTCGATACCATCTCGCGATGTATAGTAGAAATACTGAGTGATAACCAATGCGTTGTGACGAATGCGTACCAAGAATATTTGATACCATCTCGCGATGTATAGAGAAATACTGAGTGATAACCAATGCGTTCGTTGCCAAGATTATCAGAGACATGGCTACTTTGTCGAATAGAGTCGGGTGAGGTGTAGTTCAGTACGCGCGCTTCTAACATGACAACCGCATGACTCACCTTCAACCAGGAGTACTCAGCAATTGTTCCTAATGGACCCACTAACGTCTCGTCCAGTACCAGAGCCTGATAATAAGGAAGCGAAATCGTCTGTTAGTTTGTTAATTTGGTTTTCAGGTGTAAATATTCATTGCAATGTGAAAGTGTCTGAAGTTATGGGACCTATTAATTTCAAGAAAAGCACCAGTGCCTGATAACGAAGGAGCGAAATCATTTGTCAATTTCTTATCCAGGTATAAATATGTATTGAAATGTGCAAAAATATCAACGTGTAGGATCTGCTAATATCAAAATCATGCATCAAATTTGTGGTGATAACATCTATTGTAATTCAACTGTGCAGCCTGTAAAGTATAAAGAAACTTATGGCTTCAAAATATGACTTTTCGAGAAACGCTGTCAGTATTCCGACATATACTTGATGCAATGATGCTTCTAGCAAAGATTATATAAACGTGTGTGAAGATGTGTTGATATGTTTAGCACCGCCCTTTGTTATTTTCAACCTATCATCTCGGTTGAACACTCATTGTCAGTACGTACGTTTCTAATGTGAGAACGTATCAATAAACAGAGATA